CAGAGGACGAGCCCGCAGACTTTGATACGGCCATCACATCAGCGGGCTTTGGCCGCTTCAATCTAATTCTGCTGATCATCGCGATACCGGCGACCTGTGCGAACATGTTTGAGTCGACGACGATGTCGTACATATTGCCAATAGCCGAGTGTCATCTGCACTTGACGCTGACCGACAAGGGTATTTTGAATGCCTGCGCATATGCGGGCATGATCGTTTCCGCCATTCCCTGGGGCTATTTGGCCGACACGAAGGGTCGTCGCATCGTCCTCGTCTATGGGTATTTGTTGACCTCGGTTTGCGTGTTTGGTAGCGCGCTGAGTCAAAATTTCGCCATGTTGGTGACGTTCAAGTTCTTGGGTGGACTCATGTAAGTAAGCTGGCGCTACCTACCATATTTATTTAGCTGGGAATTTACTATGTCAACTAACTGTCGCTACTCAGTGTCAACGGCCCCTCAGCTGTGCTCTACTCCTATCTGTCAGAGATGCACGGACCCAAATACCGATCTCATGTGCTCTTGATTGTCGGCATGATTGTGAGCGCTGCCATTCTGCTACTGCCAATGCTGGCCTGGGTCACCTTTCCCCAGCCCTGGGACTTTGTGCTCTTTGGCAGTCTAAACAGTAAGTTGCAGATAAAAAAAGTGTGCTCTAGTCGGGGATATCTGATGTGCGAGGAATATCCCAGGCTCCATTGCACTAGCTCAAAATGATTTCTATTTCCATTCTCAGTTCACAACTGGCAAATCTTTTTGCTGATTTGCGGCTTGCCCAGTCTAATAAGTGGCCTCATTATGTGTCTGATGCCCGAGAGTCCGAGATATTTAATGGGTCAGGGTCGTAATGCGGAGGCTCTGCTAGTGCTGCAAAAGATCTATCAGATCAATACTGGCCAGCCAAAAGATAACTATCCCGTGAGCTCGATTGCTAACAACAAAAAAGAGCAAATATATTGAAAATTATTATTCTATGCTCGCCAGGTGAAGGCCCTTGTCTTGGAGGGACCCAATCGTGCGTCCCAGAAAGGCGAGGCTATTTACACAGTAGAGGAGAAACCAGAGGCTCCAAAAATCAGCCAGCGCAGCCTGCTGGAGAGCCTACGCGCCGGCATGCAACAGATGAAGCCCATGTTCCACAAGCCACTGCTGAGTCTCTCGCTCCGCTGCTACACGATGCAGTTCTGCATGTTTTTGGGCATGAACACCATTCGACTCTGGCTGCCTCAGCTGTTCTCCTCCATGGCCGATTATCAGAAAGAGCATGCAGAAGACAATGCCTCGGCCACCATGTGTACCATTCTCGATTACAGCGTGAATCGTACAGCCGAAACGTTGACGAACTATCACAGCGCCTGTGCTGAGGTGAGATTGTGACTTATCATTTATCACTTTTAATCAGTCTTAATTCGAGCTAAGATAATTCGCTTATCAAGCCTCATCATTTACTCTTTTATTTTGCTGCATCACTCTGGCCGCCTCTGCTTTATCTTACTCATTTTAATCTCTATCTCTTTTAAAGACTCCAAATATTTCAATAAATATGTATTTGAACAACATCATCGTCGCCGCTTGTGGATTTTTTGGCTATTTCTTTGCTGCTGCAATCATACGTCTAGCGGGTGCAAAACGCTTGTTAAGTGAGTAGCATATTCATTAAAATAACATTTACTGAAATTTAAAATGGTTGATCTTGATCTGGCCATGCCTGTCAGTCCGTCCACCCGTTTACTCGTCTATTCGTTCGTATGAACGTATAGCTCTCGTAGACTACAAAAGCTAAAGACTTCATATTGTACGTTCACCACCATACGCAGTAAGAGCTTATCAGATTTTTCGATAACATCTTCAATCCTCTTATTATTTGTAATGATCGATAATTGGTTTGATGTAAAGATTTTGTTAGTTTTAGATTTTGAATACCACGCTCCCTTTAAAAAAAAATAAGTATATTCATATATTAAATACTAAACATTTTTACTTTGGTAAAAGCGTAGAATGATTGGAGTATCAGCTCTTTGCAGGAGGCAGGGTATCTCGTAGTCGTAGAGCTTTCTTACTCGATTTTTATTGCGTTTTATTTTGGATTTTAATATATTTTTAGATGAATATAAAATATCTGTCTATCTATCTTTCGTATAGCCTATGGACTGTTCATCACCGGAATTCTTGGAATAGGCCTGTATTGGTCCGTAAATAGTGTGATGACAATTGCCCTATCCTCTGCCTATGTCACTGTCGGCGGGATCGCAGTCTCGTCTCTTCTGGGCGCTGTTGTTTCGCTCTTTCCCACGCAATTGCGGTAAGATACGCCGTATTCCGTATCTCTCTACCGTATATGAGATCAAATACAAATAAATGCATTTCATATATTTTTATAGCTCCTTGGTGGTGGCCATCGCCATGATGTGTGGTCGCTTGGGCGCGCTGTCTGGCAATCTGCTCTTCCCGATTTTAATACAGATCGGCTGTGTCCCGCCCTTTGTGATGGTCGCATTTGTCATGCTGTGTAAGTTTTATATTCATTCACGAAAGTGAAATATTGAAAATTTATTAATCCGCCCGCTAGGGGCGTGGCAAACCGGAAAATGCGTTTTCCCAAATACCAGCATTTGTGCTCGAACGCTGAAATTTGGAATGTAGATTCGTGCTGACCATATAAGATCAAATAGCTATTGCGTATATATCTACGCCCATTAGAGGCGTGGCAGATAGGGTAAAACTGTATCTTCTAGAGTTTTACAACTAGCACGCTGAAATTATGCCCGTGAGCCAATTCTATAAAGATTGATGAAATTGATATGTCAATTAAGGGCCACTGGGGAACGTGGAATATCGAAAAATACCCTTAAAATTTTTTGTGCGAAAGCATTTTTACCGTTAGCTTGTTCTAAGAAATGGCCAAAAATGAGAATGAGGGGCGTGGCAATCGGCATCTATATACATATATAAGGAAAAACACTCAAGCTCGCGTTTTCGAAATAAAATATGTATGAAAAGCATATAATACCGGAAAGGTTTTAAACCCACTCTAACACGAGTTGAGTCGCCTTTACCATCTACGGCACTGCTTCGATCGGTCGCTTGTAGCTAAAATAACATAGCTTCAGTGCTATAGCGTCATCTCACAAAACTACAATAACGGATGGAAAATCCAGAAATCAATCGCAATTCCTAAWATATTCGGGTGTCTGTACGCATGAATAAACGACGAATGTGTGCACATGTATAGTAAAATCGCACCTTTTTGCTGTTAGCTTGAAGTCGGTATCCATGTAATTTGAAGATCTTAGTGCCATAGATGTACTAGATATAAAAGGGAATAGCTATAAATGATTTCCCAATTTTAATTGAATCATGCCCTGCTGTTTGTTGCGCATATATACACGGATTCATACCGCGTTTGCTGTGAATGAGTATTCTGCAATAGGTACCGCCCGACAGCAACGTTCTTACTTGCTTTGCAATTATAATATGAATTAGACAATTATAATATTCACTATATAACAAGTAAGAAAGCTCTAGTCGAGACTACTTGACTACGAGATCCCCTGAACCCTTGGAGTAATAGCTATTTAAATAATTTTTCGCGTCTTTCAGCTTACACAAGAAACACACACACACACACACACACACGCACGCACGCACGCACACACAGGCATACATACACACACATACATACACACACATACACACACACACATACACAAACATTTACATACATATACACACACAAGCATAAACACGCATGGGCGGCAGTGAGCGCTTACTATGAGAACTTAATTGATTAATAACTTTTTTTGTGGACGTACGATCT